TTAATGAAAAAAAAGCAAAGGGAAAAAAAAAACAAATGTATAGTGAAACCCGATTTGAAACAAAAAAAATGTCGTAATAAAATCTAAAAACATATCGTATAAATGTAAAAAATATCGTATATATTATATAATCAGCGACTTGTGTAAAAAAAAAAGTAAGGATTGATTTTTTAAAATTTTAACGCCTAATTAAATAAAAAAAGAAAATAAAGTGATGAAAAAAAGAAAAGGAAAAAAAGAAAAGAAAAGAAAAGGCATGAGTAGTGCATCAAATAGATGATTAAAATTTTTATTTTAAAATTTTAGAGACGAAAATGAAGTAACCTAAAAATTTTAAAAAAATAAAAAAAAAAACCTAAAAGATCAAAATGAAACAACCTAAAAATTTTAATAAATAAATAAAGAACCTAACTTGATGAAAAAACAAAGGAAAAAAAAAAGCATGTATTCACAACAACTTGAAACAAAAGAAAGAAAAAAAAGTGAAATTATTTATTTTTTCCCGATACCAAAATATTTATTTATTTTTTCTTTTTTGAGAAAGCACAAGTTGAGTGATTTGTTAGTAAACAAATTATTTTACTTGTTAGTTATAATTAATATAACATGCATGTGTTTATGGACATAATTATTATTATTTTCTAGAAAAAAAAATTTCATAGTGTCAAAGTACATACTTTAAGCTATAGAAAGAAACTCGTAAAATTGTTTAAATTTTTTGGTATAAACAAAATTCAATAAAGACATCATAAAAAAAAATTATTTTCAACTTTCGAAAAAATTACATTTCAAAAAAAAAAAAAAAAAATCCGCATATACCAAACCACCTCTTAAAGCAAAATAGAAGTCTGCATTGTCAATTGCCATCATCAAAAGAACTAATTTTATTTTACACAACGTCAGCTTGCTTGGTCCCATGGCCTAATTGTCACCCTTCCTAGTTGCTGCTGCGAACTTTATTAGTTAATTAAATTCAATTACACTTTTTTGTTTCAATCACATTTCATACAAATTATTTCCTAAGCTTAACATGTCGTTCCATGTGTCAAATCTCATCCGCTCCACAGTTTTTTAACCTAAACGCTTCCCTATTTATTATTCTCCCTTGGACCCAAATTGGTGAGATTTGATCAGCTCATTTCATCCCTTTTTTTCTTTTCTTTTCACATATACCTTCATAATTCTCCCCCCACCACACACGTGTGTGTATGTGTGTAGCAGAACAGATGATCCAAAGTTGATCCTTGTTTGACAAAACGCCTATGTAACCTTTTTCTAGCCAACTCTAACATAATGAGAAAAGAACTCTAACATCTCTAAAAAAATTGCTAGGGATTGCAAAAATTTTAAACAATATATATTAGTAGTTTGTTTTACATTACAATATTTTTTTTATATATATATTTACAAATAATGGAGTAATGTCGGAATGTTTTCACATCAATCGAGACTAAATCTATTATTATTTGAACTAAATTAGTATCAGAATATGTTTACTTTTTATTAAATCATTGGGCTATTATTTTTTTAAGAGCTTGTTTTGTATTACAATTAAATGAGATTAGATGTGTAGTTAAAATAAAAAAAATATCAATTTCATAGCTTTTCAACCCAATGACGCCATCAAACTTACATTATTTTTACAAAATACAATATTATATAAAGGACCCACAATCAAGATAAATCAAATATAATTTTCTTGGCATTTGTCTGCCTTTTTCCTTTAGAATACATTCACATCTCTACAAACCTTCTAAGCATCACAAACTCAACAATAATTATCATATTCTTTCCCCAAGTACACACCTTATGTGGTCCTCTAAGATAAGTCACATCTATTTTACATGTGTCCTTACTTACTATATTAAAAAGAAAAACACACATAGGCTCCTAATTTTTTTCATCTTTCTTAACCTTTTTCCTCGATGTAAAGAAAGAAGTAGGTCCATAATTTTTAGTCCTTGAAAATTTTAAAGTTAGGATTGATTTTTTAAATTTAACGCCTAATTAAATAAAAAAATAAATTGATGGAAAAAAGCAAATGAAAAAGAGAGAGAGAAAAGGCATGAGATAAAGGATTAAAATTTTTATTTTAAAATTTTAGAGACAAAAATGAAATAACCTAAAATTTTTTTAAAAATAAATAAATAAAGAACCTAAGAGATCAAAATGAAACAACTTGAAAATTTTAATAAATAAATAAATAAAGTACCTAACTTGATGGAAAAAAAACAAAGGAAAAAGAAAACATGTATTCACAACAACTTAAATCAAAAGAAAGAAAAAAAAGTGAATAGTACTCGAAACAAAAAAAAAAAAAAAGAGGTGAACTTGAAACAAAAGAAACGAAGAAAAAAAGAAAAGAAAAAGTGAACAGTACTCGAAACGAAAAATAAAAAAAAATTGAACAGGGTTGAGAATAGCTAAAACCTTGTGCCTTTTTAGATATATAGTAATATTATGTATGCTTTGTGAGAAATTCAACATTGTATTCTTCACGAATCAAGAAATTTGATATCATTTTGAAATGGTAGAGAATCACATTTTTTTGGACAGAGAACGTAAAAATTTTAAATTTTTAACTAAAATACCTCCACTATTAATAATAAATGGAATAACATATGTTTATTATTATTTTGATAATAACAAAAGTGGTTTATTAGTCTTGAGATCAAAATATTTATTTATTTTTTCTTTTTCGAGAAAGCACAATTTAAGTGATTTGTTAGTAAACAAATTATTTTACTCGGTAGTTATAATTAATACAACATGCATGTGTTTGCGGACATAATAATTATTTTTTTATAGAAAAAACAACTTCATAATGTCAAATTACATACTTTAAGCTTTAGAGAGAAACTAGTAAAATCGTTTAAATTTTTTTGGTATAAACTAAATTCAATAAAGACATATCATTAAAAAAAAGAAATTATTTTCAACTAAATACAAAACTTATATTCCAAAAACTTACATTTCAAAAAAAAAAAAAAAAAAAAGAATCCACATATACCAAACCACCTCTTAAAGCAAAACAGAAGTCTGCATTGCAAATTGCCATCATCAAAAGAACTAATTTTATTTTACACAACGTCTGCTTGCTTGGTCCCATGGTCCGATTCTCACCCTTCCGGCTGCTGCAGCGAACTTTATTAATTAAATTCAATTACACCTTTTGTTTTAATTACATTACATACCAATTATTTCCTAAGCTTAACTTGTTCAATGTTTCAAATCTCATCCGCTCCACAATTCTCTTGCCTTAAAGCTCCCATATTTATTATTCTTCCTTGGATCCAAACTGGTGAGATTTGATGAGCTCATTTCATCCTTTTTTTTTTTTTTGTTTCTTTTCTTGTCACATATATCTTCCTAATTCTTCCCCTGCCACACACGTGTATATATACGAGCAAAACAAAGGATCCAAATTTGAGCCTTGTTTGACAAAACGCCTATGTAACCTTTTTATAGCCAACTCTAAAGGAATGAGAAAAGAACTCAACATCAACAAAAAAAAAAAAATTGCTAGGGATTGCAAAAAATTTAAACAATATATAATAGTAGTTTGTTTTACATTACAATATATATATAATTGATTATTATCAGATTATTTTCGCATCAATAAGACTAAATCTATCATTTTTTTAATTAAATTAGTATCAAAACATGTTTATCTTTTCACATCAATGAAGACTAAATCCATTATTTTTTGAATTAAATTAGTATCAGAGCATGCTTATCTTTTATTAAATCATTAGGCTATTATTTTTTTAATTGCATGTTTTGCATTAGGATAAAATAAGATCAGAAGTGTAGTTGAAAAAAAAAAACAATTTAATGGCTTTTCAACCCAATGACGCCATCAAACTTACATTATTTTTACAAAATACAATATTATATAAGAGAGCTACAATCTAGATAAATCAAATATAACTTACTTGGCATTTGTCTGCCTTTTTCCCCTTTAGAATATAATCACATCTGTACTAACCTTCTTAGTAAAAGGCATCACAACTCACCAATACTTATCATATTCTTTCCCCAAAGTACACACCTCATGTGGTCCTCTAAAGATAAGTCACACCCATTTTACATTTGTCCTTAAGAAGAAAAACACACATAGGCTCCTCAGTTTTTTCACCTTTCTTAACCTTTTTCCTCAATGGAAAGAAAGAAGTAGGTCCATAATTTTTAGTCCTTGGTAAAGATGAGTTTAGGGTATAATGATTTGTTCATTGAAATCCACATGGGACAAAAGATATGCTTATCATCTTCATCACCAAATCCAAATCCAAATCCAATCCCTTTCTCCCGTTCCCCTAACTTATAACAGCTCTAAAACACCTTGGCATTTCCATGCCACCATGTAGTAGCATATTCCTTTCTCTCTCTCTTTCTATTCCTCCCAACATCCCCAAAATACCCTTCTATCGCCTGCGCTCTCAGCCACCAAATCATGGGCATTTCCGTCACTACGCCAAACCCCACGTTCGAAACCCAGAACCTCTATCTAGCATCCCCAAACTGCCCTTCAATAACCCAGAAAGTATAAACAAGAGAAGGGTGAAATGGTAAATTGGTATAAAAAGATGCGTGTTCATGGGGTCCATAATTAATTGAAAAAAAGAAAAAAGGAAAGAAAGAGAATAGAAGGCAACGTGAGTGGATCTCGCAAAGCAGACACCAAAAATTTAAAAAAAAAAAAAAGAGAAAAAAAAAAGTGGGCTCGAAAGTTTTCTTAGAGAGAGACTGAGAGAACAAAAGTTTTAGATAGAGGTAGAGAAAGAAAGACAAGTTGGTTTTAGAGACGTTACCGGACTCCAAAGCAACATTTCGCCGGAATTTACTTACTCCTAGTTCACGTCCGGTCTAGGTTTTTTTTTCTTTCAAATTTTAATTCAATTAATAATCCCTAATTCCTCTTCTAATCCTAGGGTTCCTTTCTCTCTCTGTCTCTGTTTCTCTTAACCTTCAAAGTTTCAATCTTTTCAGGGGAAATTCTAATGTTTACGCCCCAGAGGAAAGTGTGGTCGGGGTGGTCGCTGACGCCAAGAACCGAAACCGGTGGAAAGAATGGAAGCATGTCTGGGTCGGATCCGAAGGGAAAGAGTGTGGCTTTTGTTGAACAAGTGACGCATAATGGAGTGGGAACCAATTTGGACGGTGAAGATTTGGTTGATAAAATTTCAAAGCTTCAGAATGAGGTTATTTCTTGTTTTGGGTCCCTTTTGTTTTGTTTCAAACATACTCTGATTTTTTTGTAGTTGGGTTTGTTTAAATTTTGATGGGGATTTATTTATTTATTATTATTATTATTTTGTGATTTTAGTGTTTATAAGGTATAAAGTTTTTTTTTTCCTGGGCATAGCTGGTGTTTTAGTTAGGTGGGCTTGTATTGGAGGATTTCTGAGTGAGGAGTGAAGTTTTTTGGTTAACATCAGTGAACTAGTTATTGAGATTAGTTTGTAAAGGTAGGTTGAATGGTGGGGACGTTGCGAAAAGGAAGTTGTGGGCTGTAAGTGTTTTTTTTTTTTTTTCCTGCTTTCACTATGCTATAGGATACACTTGAGATTTGATTTGGATGTAGTGCTGTGAGTAGATTGTGGCAATTTTTTGATGTCTGCATATACCATTTTGATATGTAAGAAAGTGAAGTTAAAAGCTGGTAAATCATTGAAGCATTGCTCCAGATTTTACATCAATTTTTGTCACTGCACTGCATCGGTGTCATAAATATGACTATCTTCTATTTTTCTGGTAGCAAATTTAGTTTTTTGAGATCGATGTTCGATTTTATTAGATTTTGAATTTATTATATCTTGCTTCCTATTGTTAGTGTTGAATGAAATCAGCTTGATTTTCATTGATTTGAAACAGTTTGATTTTGCCTTTTGTTGTATTTGGTTAAAACTTGGTTATTGGGATTTGAACCAATAAAGAATGTCTAGATGGTCTGGGTATGAATCTGTTTGTAAATGATGAAGTTAGGTATAAAAAATTGATGACTTGCTTGGAAAAATGACTTGCTAGATTTTCTGGCAGCAACAACTAGTTGCTACAGAAAATTAAAAAGTGAACAGAGAAAAAAGGGAGAAGCAGAGAGTATTTAATTATGAATGCTTAGAACTCAAATTAAACTAGTTGATCATGCAATCAAATCATAAGAGAATCTTGGAATTTTTTTTTTCATGTGCTAAAAAGAAAAGATTATAATTCCTAACCAGTGGACTCCCTAGTAAAACACTTGAAAAAAGAGATTTAAAAATTGCAACGCTTTATGAAATTATAAGAAGATGCCATGGTTAGGCAATAAGTTATGCAAAACATTCAGGAACTATTGAATTGATTGTCCTGCTATCTTTAAGAAGTAGCACAACTCATAAGGTAAAACCCTAGCTAACTTTATATAGACTTAAGAGTGCATAACCAGTGGACTTCCCAGTAAAACACCTAAAAACAGATTTGAACTTGCAACGCTTTATGAAATTTTAAGAAGATGCCATGCTTAGGAAATAAGTTATGCAAAACATTTGGGAACTATTGAATTCATTGTTCTGCTATCTTTAAGAAGTAGCATAACTCATAAGGTAAAGCCCTAGCGAACTTTATATAGACTTAGACTGCATAACCACACAAGTGCAAGTTTCGAACTAATAATGACTGAAGTATCTCTTTGACTGTAAGTTGTTTGTCTTTATACTGCACTGCTAATTTTTGACCCACTGATCTGTATCCCAGCTGTTTGAGTACCAGTACAATATGGGCCTTCTCTTGATTGAGAAAAAGGAGTGGGGTTCTAAGTATGAAGAACTCATGCACGCATTAACAGAAGCGCAGGATGCAGTCAAACAGGAACAAGCAGCACATTCGGTTGCAATTTCTGATGCTAAAAAGCTGGAAGAGAATTTGAGAAAGGCCTTGGGTGTTGAGAAACAGTGTGTACTTGATGTAAGATTTTAATTTCTTCCTTTCAATTATATAAATATTTTTCACTGAATTCATATGCTTTTGAAATAGACTTCTTTCATGCATAATCTGCCTCCCATAATCACTCGATAACTTGAACAAATGGACATACTTTGATCTTAGGGAATGTTAAGGGTTAGCATCTGTAAAGTTAGAAGCCCCCTAGGGTAGAATGTTGCTAAGCCTCTAAGAATGACTTCTTTGATTGCCATTGTTGATATCACCTAAAAAGGTTTGTCAGATATTTTATCTCAAAGGTGATTTCCTTGTCTTCCTCCTATTGTGACAAAGCATTCGCCAATGAGGGGTAAGATGAACTGCACAAGTCCTACTTTGAGGTTACTTTTTGCCACTCTAGATTAAGAGATAATTGCCTTACTACTTGTACATATTTATGATTTGATTTCCTCTGCTAGTGTAAAGGCATCTTTTAGTGAAAAGTTTTTTCTAGTTTGCTACCGTGAATCTGTTCTTTCAGTAATCTGTGAAAGTGTTGGCTGATGTAGTTGGAGAAGGCAGTGCGCGAGATGCGTTCAGAAAATGCAGACATTAAGTTTACGGCTGATTCAAAGTTGGCTGAAGCAAATGCATTGGTTACTAGTATTGAAGAGAAGTCTCTGGAGGTAGAGGCAAAATTGCGTGCTGCTGATGCGAAGCTTGCTGAAGTGAGCCGAAAGAGTTCAGAGATTCAGAGGAAATTGCTGGATGTGGAATCTCGTGAAAATGCTCTTCGAAGGGAGCGCTTGTCCTTCATGGCAGAGTACGCTCAATTTTCTTTACTAATTACCATTGAGTCTACTTCATCCCTTCGTTGTCTGCACTATGCAGTATTAGTGGAGTTCAAATGGTGCACGTGCTAATTATTTTGGTGACATTTCTCTTAGGAAAGAGGCGCATGAGAATGCTTTTTCTAAGCAAAGGGAGGACTTGCAAGAATGGGAGAAGAAATTACAAGAAGGAGAAGAGAGGCTATTGAAGAGTCAAAGAATTATCAACCAAAGAGAAGAAAGGGCAAATGAAAATGATAGGATCCTTAAGCAGAAAGAGAAGGATCTTGAAGAAGCACAGAAAAGAATTGGGGAAGCTAACTCAATTTTGAAGAGGAAAGAAGATGATATAAGTAACCGGCTAACTAATCTAACCATAAGGGAAAAGGCATGTTTTTTCTTCACAGTGAGCTGTTATTCGATCTGTTTTTAATGCATATGCTAATGTATCTGTATGATTTGTGCAGGAATTTGATGCTACAAGAAAAAAGTTAGAGGTGAAAGAAGTAGAGTTACGTGTGCTGGAAGAAAAGCTGAATGATAGAGAGAAAGTGAGTCTATGCAGATGACTTTTTTCCATTGTTGAAACGTTCTCACATGATCACATGTGTTAAATGCTTGATATGCATATTGTTCTGGTTCTATGATTGGTCATATATACCTGATAAACTATACCACTCACAGTGGCCATCAGATTTGGGCTTTGACTTCTCCAAATCACCATAATTTGTCTAATATTTAAGTAGGAAGTTTTCGCTCATCATTTCCTTTGAGGATCTGGTGATATATATATATATACACACTTATACTTTATGAATTATTTGCTCTTTTCTATACATTTGCTGCATTATTCGTGTCTTTTCAAACTTCCAGAATTAAACACATGAAAGCAACCCCTCCCCCTCCCTGCGAATATGATTAGCTGTTACTTATCATGCATTTGTTGTTTTCCTTTTCCATGGGACATCTAAAGGTTGAGATTAAGAAGCTAACTGATGAACACAATGCCATTTTGGACGCAAAGAAGCATGAATTTGAGTTGGAAGCTGAGCAAAAGAGGAAATCTTTGGATGAGGAACTCAAAAACAAGGTAATTGAGGTAGAAAAGAGGGAAACTGAAATCAAACATAAGGAAGAGAAAGTTGCAAAACGAGAGCAGGCATTGGATAAGAAACTGGAGAAGCTTAGGGAGAAAGAGAATGAATTTGAATCAAAGTCAAAATCTCTTAAGGAGAGGGAGAAGGCCTTCCGATCTGAGGAGAAGAACTTGGAGGCGGAGAAAAAACAACTGCATTCTGCGAAAGAGGATTTTCTAAATCTTAAAGCTGAACTGGAAAAATTAAGGGCTTCAAATGAAGAGCAGCTTCTGAAAATTCGTGAAGAGAAGGAGTGTCTCAAAGTAAGTGAGGAAGAGAGGTCTGCGTATGCCCGCTTGCAAGCTGAACTTAAGGAAGAAATAAATAAGTGTAGGCTTCAGGAGGAGCTGCTTTTGAAGGAGGCTGATGATTTAAAGCAGCAAAAGGGGAATTTTGAGAGAGAGTGGGAAGAGCTGGATGTAAAAAGGGCGGAGATTGAGAAAGAGCTGAAGAGCATTGGTGAACAGAAAGAAAAATTTGAAAAGCATAGACTCTCCGAAGAAGAAAGAATAAGAAATGAAAGAAAGGCAACAGAAGACTATGTAAAAAGAGAGCTGGAAGCTCTGGAAGTTTCCAAGGAATCATTTGAGGCCAACATGGAGCATGAGCGGTCTGTGACAGCTGAGAAAGCTCAAAGTGAGAGAAACCAAATGCTATATAGCATTGAGATGCAGAAGACCGAACTTGAGAATGATTTGCAAAAAAAGCAGGAGGAGATGGACAGGCTTTTGCAAGAGCAGGAGAAATTGTTTGAGGAAGAGAAAGAGAGAGAATTAAAGAATATTAATTTCTTACGAGATGTAGCTAGAAGAGGAATGGAAGATATGAAACTGGAAAGGGCTAGGATAGAGAAAGAGAAGCAAGAAGTTGATGAAAATAAAAGGCATCTTCAAGAGCAACAACTTGAAATGCGAGAAGATATTGATAAGCTGGGTGATCTTAGCAGGAAGTTGAAGGACCACAGGGAGCAATTTGTTAAAGAGAAAGAGCGCTTCATTATATTTGTTGAGCAACACAAGGGTTGCAAGAAGTGTGGTGAATTGACCTCTGAGTTTGTGCTTTCTGATTTAATATCTTCACAAGAAATCGAGAAAGCAGATGTCCTTCCTACATCAAAGCTGGCTAATAACCATGTGACTGGAGATGATGGAAATCTGGTTGCTTCTCAGAGGCATGACAGCAAGATATCTCCCACTCTTGCTCGTTCATTATCTCCAGTTTCTTGGCTGCGGAAATGCACATCAAAGATATTTTCCTCTGCAGATAAAAAGATTGAGCCTGCTGCTTTTCAAAATTTGACTGATGGCACACCCATGTCTGGTGAGCAAGTTAATGCAGAAGAAATGTCAAAAAGATTAGATTTTACGGAAAACGAACCAGAGCTATCTTTTGCAATTGTCAATGATTCACTTGATGTCCAGAGGGTACTGTCTGGTACAAGCATCAGAGAGGTTGAAGCTGGGCACGATTTGTCTGTTAATGATCAGAGCAATAATAATGGTACAGCACCAGAAATTCAGGAAGATTCCCAACCTTCTGGATTAAATCATGGTCGTCAACCTCTTAAAAAGGGTAGGCCAAGAGTTAGCAGAACACGCTCTGTCAAGGCAGTTGTTCAAGATGCCAAAGCTATCCTGGGGGATGCTTTGGAACTAAATGAGGCTGAAGATTCTGGCCATTTGAAATCGGAAAGCCGTGATGAATCTAGTCTTGCTGATAAAGGAGTTCCAAGAAATGCCCGGAAGCGGAATCGAACTCAGACATCTCAAGTTTCAGTGAGCGACCATTACGGTGATGACAGTGAGGGACATTCTGATAGTGTCACTGCCGGTGATCGAAGGAAGAGGCGACAAAAGGTTGTTCCCAATCAAACTCAAGGCCAAACACAGTATAATCTTCGGCGACGCAAACCGTAAGTTTTCATATTCCTAGTAGTGCTTTTGCTATTACATGAACATGTTGTTTGTAGTTTTTCAATCCACAGACCTTTCTTGTAGAGTTGAATTAGCAGCCTCGTAAATCATCTGATGAATGTACTGTTTGAGGAATTCTTCATAGTATGTCTTCCTTGACTGGTGTAAACCTATCCAAGATGGCTGCCTTTTGTTTTTAGTGTTGGAAATCCATCAAGGAAAAAGATCTGCTTTCATTGAGATGTATATAACATGCCATTTCATTCCATGGTTTAATAGCCTAACATGCTATTATAATTTTTGTTTGCAAGAATTCACCAATTTTTTGTAGTATTGCTGATAACTAATAAATAGATTTCTTTAATGGATGTCAGTGGAATCACTGTTGTAACTGCTAAAGCCTTATCAAACCTGAACAAAGAAAAGGAGAAAGAGGATGATGGTGTTAGTGGTCCACAGGATGGAAATCTATTGAGAAGTGCACCAGCTGCTTCTGCGGGGGCTGCTAGTGAGAATGGTGGAAGCATGCACTTGGTACGGGTGAGTGCTACAAAAACTGTTGTCAATGTTATTTTCTCTGGTATAGTGATTATAGAACCTTGTTCAAGCTGCAAGGGTGTTTCTTTTCTCCTTTCCATTTACTTAGTGCATTTTCTTTGGCAGTGTGCGAATGTCATGGACACTGATGGCAGTGCAAGAAAGTTGGGTGAGAATGTGGCACTGAGTGAAGAAGTAAATGGGACGCCAGAGGGGGCTGGGGAGTATGGTATTGCAGATGAGAACACGAGTGAAACCCCTAGAGATGACGATGAGGATGACGACAATGGTGAAGAGTATGTGCATCCAGGTGAAGTCTCAATAGGAAAGAAGCTTTGGACTTTCTTAACGACATAATGATACTAAATCTTGTGCTTCAGTTTGGTGACTTAAGTGGATTCTTGATTGTTCTGATTTTTTAGGATTGCTGTTAGGAGCTCTTTGATGTGTAGTAGTGTGTATTAAAATTTAAGTGTAGTTATGGTGATTTCGAGTCTTAATCCAGGTGCAAGCTTTTGTTCCCCCTGGTTTTCTTTTGTTAGGATTCAGGATTTTTTGGAGTTGCCCATGTCTTTTAGAACAAGGTAGATGATTTGATGTAGCAATGACCAGTGAATATTAAACACTGGATGCACATCTTCCACATTATCCAAATCGGTTGTATCAAAACATATTTTTAACCTTGCAGGAATGACGGTTTGAAGAACCTGTGATCTCAATCCTCGTCCTTGTCAGCTTTCCTGCACTGTTTGGTGGTGTGTTATGATTAGTGAAAATGAAAACCCCCATCTTTAAACATTATTGGATGATTCAATCATTTTAACGGCAACGTGTCGAAGTTGCTTAGAATGAAACTGGATTGTGAAATATGTGAGATTGCTGATTGAATGTTAAAACTTTCTAGTGGTTTTTCATGTGGGCGAGGTCCTAGAAAACTACAGATACAGACTGCTGACTGCTGAGTAATGGGATTCTCGTGTGGTTGATGACAGGCGTTTAAGGCATTTTTGCAGAGTCACACTACAAAACAGCCCTGCGCAAGGCAAGCAGGCTTTGGTTTGGATTCTAGCAAGGGCTTAAAACTGCCTAAGCTTAAGCTGAAATGATTAATACTTTTGCCGAGACATGTAAATTAGAATTCTTTTTAGCATTATTATTGGTTAGCTCTTGGGGTTGGAGGAAACGGAAAGCCTTAATACACAGTCAAGAAACTAATGACCATGACAATAAGAATAAGGAGATAAGAAAAAGAAGCTTTGGCATGACTATCATAATAAGAATAAATAGATGAGAAGCAACTTTGGCATTTTCTTGTATGTGTAAACAAGTTCAGTATTATTCCTAATTTTGTTAAGAATTGTTCTTGGGACCTCAAGAAACCACTACCTCTTGAGCCAAAAACCCATTGGTTCGCCTCTACTTCTGACGATATATGAAAAACAAGAGACTTGATGGAAATCTTTGGCGTCAACATCAACACAACCAAAAAAAAAAAAAATGGCTTCTATGATATATATAATCAAAGGGCACCCCCACTCATTATAAAAAAATTGATACATCACGGTATAAATCAGCCTAAACTAGGAAGAACTTGGTAAGATTGGGATCTCATCTTATCATTCTAGGGTAAACTTCCAGCTAAAAAAGAACTAAATTAATTAAATGCAATTGGTAACAGACCTTTTCCTCTTCAACTAACAAAATTCCACAACTTTGAAGCCTAGATAACTGTACAATTGGCTCTTTTCTGGTACTCTGTATTTGGTTAGGAATGCTGACAATTCTGTTCATATATACACTTGTGATAATCATCTGCCGTTAGAATTTCAGGTGCTCACTGCTGACTAATCTTCCTCCAGATGTGGCCCATCTAGGTTCCAACAAGTCTGAGATAGAAGCACACAGCTCCATGTGGTTTTTCAGATCCCTATACAGTTTAAAACAATACTTAAAAACATGGGTGCAGCAAATCTAGCATAATTTAAACTCTCATGATTGGGAAGAAAATGACAGGCTAGAGAAGCAGCCTTGGAAATGGAAAATGTTAACTCACTTGCAGCGTGGTACACGGCAATCTGTTTGTCTGCAAATTCTAGCATGTAGCTTCAGCATGTACCATACCTTCTGACAGTGTTGACACCCCCAGAGCATCGAATACTGCACTTGTTTGCATGGCAGAACAACCTTCTGATGTTGAGGCATTTCGGGTGAAAGCAGGGGTTACTACTTGTTGCTCGACATTGGGAGGCATGCTTTAAAAGACTTAACAGTTCCGTTTGTTGTTGTGCCAAATTAGCAAACTTTTGTTCCTTTAGCTGGACCACCAAATTAGCAAAATGTTAAACAAAACATTTAATAAAATTCATCACATGCCTGCACATGCACACACACATTGTCCGACTCTTTCCTTGTGGATCCATGAGAAGAAAGAAAACTGACCCCAATCAACTTACATCATTTCTATTAAAACAATGGCTTAAAGACCAGTAACATGTCACGAAGATTCATCATCATACCTGCAGTGCTTCTTGATGAGCATCTACACTCTCAGTTCCACAATTAGCTGGAGGAGAGCATTGATTCAACGTATATACATGCAAAGAACTGTCTTTCTTGTGATAGCATGCAGCACAGACATCTCTATCCAGTGTATCAGTACCCTGATGGCAAATTTTGCACTTATTCCCAGCTGCTGGCAGTGTTGGATTATGGAGATGATGCAGGATCATCATTGATGAATGCTTGGCTCGGCGAAGGGTGTCAAATTGATAATGATTCTTCTGACACAGACCCAAGAAAGTATGTCTATTCTCAAAATGCCAGTTCTCTAAAATAGCATCATTATCCTCAGTATAGGACGGTATCCCATTCACCATAACCTGAAAAGAGAAGAATGAAGGAGGTATCAGATGTGCCATTTTTGCAATTACGAATCTAGTGATCACCGTAATTTTAGTAGGGATTCTCACCTGAGAGAGTAAATGCTTTTCCCTGTTATTTAAGGAGTGTGAGTCCTCCCCATTGAGACTTTTCTCTGCATCATGGCATCTGCAAATGCACATAGAACTACAATTATTTACAAGCAATAATTCCACGTTTGGCAAGAGAAAATAATGGAAAACAATGTTTAAGTAAAATGACAAGCACCATCACTGCTAATGTGCTTGGGGGGATACATACATGTACATTAATTACCTTCCACATAGCTGAAAATTTTTGCACTGGCAGCAAAACCATCGGCTTCCAGATAACATCACTTCATGACAATGTGTGCAAACATGTTGCAAATGAACGACCTTGAAGTCCTCCTTACGACCACAAATGGGACCATCCCCCAGCTGGTCAAGGGAAAAAGGAAATATAACAAAAATTAAAGAATTGCACAGTTGTGTAACAAAAAAGCAATCTCACCATTAGCTTCAACATTCTATGTAGTGCAGGTTTTACATCTTTTTAATTCTAAAGCTTCAGTTTAAAAAAAAAAAAAAAGTATTGAAGCAAGTGAAATTTTAGCATGTGCAAAATTATGCCAGCAGATATGCATTTATACATTTTTCCTCCTCTAATTCCAGTGGCTTTGGAAATTAGTAAGTATAAAATCAAAAGCCAATAAAAATATATTGGGTTTAGATGCTCTGGAGGGTTAAGAAAAAAATATAAGACGTGATCTGAAAAATTGAATTAATACCCTAAGAAACCGTATCACTATAACTATTATCATGAGCTATATGTCTCATCCCAGGAGTCTAAACTTGCTTTATGATGAAATGATTTACTTGATATATATAGACTTAATAGTTTCTGCACTGCAAAGTTTTCCATGTGTATGAGAGAGTTTGAAACAACTAAATAAGACATGGTTCTGCTATCTTGCAATATATCTAGTAGTTATTTAGTTAGAAGAAACACAGAGGTTTAGGCTCTCATTTTTCCCCATCAATTCCTAAATTAGATACTGAAACTTTTAGTTGAAGCCCCACAGGTTGCTTCAAATGATACACTTATGATGATTGCGTGAACAGAAATATCTAACAAAACAAATTGCAAATAAATAAATAGAAAGAGAAAGTTCAGTGGATTACGTAATTTGTTACTAGAATAGCTTTGGTGTTACCACCAGAGGACTCTGTATGCCCCATGGCTTTTAGAGTTCTTTTTGTCATTACTTTCTTCACCTTCCTCTGTGCATATATCCCAGTTTGCTGTTCAATATTCTTGAGGATATTCTCCGCAGCATCAGACCAATAGCAACCATCAAAGTAAGGCAAACGAGCTGCTGTTATCTTCGAGTAACAATGTCCAGTAGGAACGAAGAAATGGTCATATAAATTTGTAAAATCTACCACAATATTTTCTTTTGCTGCTTTTCTTAACATTGAATGATACCTGCATATATTTTAGCCGGTTAGTTAGTCAAAACATTCACATCAAAGGAGACGGGGAAAAAAGTCAAACAAAGCAGTTGCTATGGGAATCTGAGCAAACAAAAATTCAGTGGGCCCAAGTCAAGGATAGGGTTACATTGCTATAAACTGGTGAACCAAAATTCAGCCAGCGTGCCCGTAAACAACACCGAGACACTTCAAATACATAGCACAACCACAACTACAAATGCAAATGTAGGTTAATGGCAGCGCCAGTCTCCGGTTCAATGATTCACACACACGCACAGCTTACCACTGTCGCAGCTTATCAGACTTCGGAGTCTTCTGGTTTTCTGGATGGCAATACAAGATATAATCTTCTCCCTTTAGAGGAGGACAGGCCCATAAATAGCAGGTTGTAAAACCTCGTTTCTTACAGTATTCAAGGTATCCTATCTGATGAAGCACAAATAAGAAAAAATAAAACAAAATGAGCCATTCGTGTTACTAAATAACAAATAACAAAAAACTAGTAACTGAAGCGAAGTATCATACCAATATTTCATGGTAAACAAATGTACGAAGAGCTTCTCCAGTTGAAGTTTCTGTCTCTGGCCTGAAGTACTTCACAGAGTCAAGATATGAGATATAAACACTGCGTTGGTTTGGCTGACTGCACTCTGAGCCAAACTCCTGGACGTAGAGGCCAAAAAGGCATACATCCACTCCTTCAATATTCTGGAACAAAAGAATCACCTAAAAGGGGGAAAAAAACACAGTAATGAGTTTGTGCCATAAACCACATAAAACAGCCACAATACTAAAAGTGTCACTATTAAGACAGGCAAAAACAGGTGAAGACCCCTATATTTTGGGAAAGATCAAGGAAGGTCATTGCTATATCTCACAAGTTTGGGATGCCACTATTATTGTTGAGAGTTCAAATAAGTTCCCAGAATTATCATGAAAAAGTATTTAGACTTGTGCTTAGCTCTTAACCGCAACCTGTTACCTTTGATCTGTAAGGAAATTCAACAGGGTAGTTCTCGCCATGGAAGATTTCTAGAAACTTCTCCTTCACTTTCAACTGTTTGTCAACAGATAGCACCACTCTTACAACAAGATCTTCTGCTCCTGGAACCTGGCAACCAATAGAACATACATATCAAATGTGTGCCTACGCTGAGCTTGTAGAGCATGCATAAAAAGACCCCATCCATGGTAAACTAAACAAGAACAACGACGAAAAAAGCACAAGAGCAAAATCAGATCTAAGCATGAATTGTCCATTACCACATAATTCTAGCAAATGTTTTTATCATTTTGTTCGTGTTTTTTTTTTTTGAAAAAAAAAAAAACAACAACACTTAGAAGTCCATAAAGTGTACTTACATTAAAATGATAATAAAGCAGATTTTGAAGATAGATTTGAGTGAAAAGATATAACCATAAATATCTAGTCCTTTAGGTCTGTTTTTGTATCCATTTTCTTTATTTACCAACAAATTCCCATTCAAACCATCAAATGATCACTTTTTATAATCTTCTATTATGCGAACTAATCAAATTAAATATGGGTTAATTCATATTTAATTATGTTCCTTTTATTCATATTCTGAGACCTGCAATGGACACCCAGTCCAGGACTCATCAACTATATATGCATAATAAGGCACATAAAAATGCAGTATCCTTGTAAAAAATCACATCTGAGATCTAACCTCGTCAATGTTCACTCCCATAACCTTTGCTCTCTCTTCTTTCTCTTGATTAAGACGCCTAAAAAGTCTTTCCTCTATGAAGTCACTCAAGATGGTACGAGGCAGATCTTTTGCACCAAAAATAGCAGCCTTAGATGATGGCACATTCTCCTTGCTTTTCATTTCTTTTAAGCAGCATTTGGGACAGATGTACTCAGCTTTTCCTTCCATGTCTCTTTTATCATTGAACAGAGCACATATCTGGTGTTGCCACCCTTTACATTTATCACACTCAACCCACTAAAAGAACACAACAGACTTAAAAAGTGAGTCCCTTATAAATGAACAGGTTCAACAATTCAAACTTATTGCTGCTTAGCTTACCGGTTCATCAGTTGCCTCGTCATTCTTCTTTTTATGCAGCTTTTCCTTCACAATGGTGATTCCATAGAATGTGATCCTTCCACCTCTAGACACCTTAAAGCATGAAGTACAAAAACAAGGCCGCACGCCATCTTCATCTGATGTGGTGTAATAAATCACCCCACGCTTAATACGAGCACCACAACACGAGCAATATATGGGCACTGGGAAAAACCAAAGCTTATCTTCTGCACATAACTGGCATTGATTCTCGTTGACATGATCTATTATTTTGTCTTCTTCATTTGCTATTCTCTAAAAGAAAATGCACAGGTGTATTTAGTGCTCATCCAACATCTAAAAGTAACTTAGGTTTTCAATGATACTTGCATCGATCAACTAAAAACTGGAAATGAAACATGTGCATATGAGCTCCAAGTTCATAAAATATCATTATAATCTAATCTACCAATATAGCCCTAAGAAACCAACAAAATTGGTGCAAGACTAAGGCAACTCATGTAACACGTAAGGAAAAAAAATCTCACATCAGCAGACAATATAAATAGATCATTGTAATAACAAAATGAGAAAAAGAAGAGCAAATGCTGAACTCCAGGTGAGAAGCTACATGTCTTCTAGGTAATAGCTTATGAACACACAACTTCACATAATGGACATAGGCTTAAGCTTTTGCCTAAGTAGAATCTGCAGCTACTTAAACTTCAGATCCAGTCCACCAAAAAAGGGAACCAAATACTTGCATATTCAGGTAAAATTGACAGAGAAAATAAGTTCCTTGGCATTCTTTTCTTGTTTGATTGATCAAATTTGTAAAGGTTACACCAAAGCATATATGTCACTGGACTCCCTAGGTTTCCATTTATATCAACTGGCTCATAGTAACAGTGATTTGTATTGTCCATTTTTTACTTGCACAACTTTCCATTTAACACAACTATTCTTCACTCTTGGAGGATTGACTATAACACACGATGTAAAATCTCTGCTCATTTGCAGTAATAACCAAAGCTACAATGCCAAGGACAAGAAAAAAAAAAGAAAAACAAAATGTGGGAGCAGTTGCAAGCATTGAAGCAACCTAGTGACCTTGGCCCCATGTAGCAAACGTCAGAAAGAAGATTCTGTAGCTAGCTCCAAGTGGCTGGGAAAGGTTCAATTAAATGGATATGTTCATTTGTTTCTCCTTTCTCTTCTGTCTGTGTGCGCGTTGTGTTCAAATACCTCAGTCAGAGAAGTTAAGGGAGATTTCCGCATTACGCTAATATGATATGATATGTTATGATAGTATTTCAATTTCAGCAACACGGTGAAACATCTATAAGAAACATGTGCTTCTACTATTTAAAAAAAAAAAAGTAGTGGCGATGCTGATGTACTCACCTGGCCAATCCACTGCCCAAGACTGGACACATGTACCTCTATCTGTTCTGCTGTGAAAAAATCAATTAAGGAAGCACCTCTCATCTTTGGACTTTCTGATTTCATTCCTTCTTCGTGTTCAGTAACTGTTGCAGTTAACTCAATTTCTATAGCTGGTTTGGCTACAGGAAATTTAGATATGACCTGCAAATCCTCTTTGTTAAAAGCAGTGCCAACCTCTCCAGGGAGAATAGGCATACAATTAATCATCAATTTGTTGCAGTCATCTTTCGCAACGTCAGCAACCCCACTAGAACTTCTGGAGTCCATCTCCCCTGAACTACAACCAACGCTGTGCCCCTTAAAAGGGGCAGAAACATTCTCACAAATTAATCTGGGATAATTATCTGCAGCACTGCTCCTCATCTGATCACAGCTTGTAGGATTTTCCATGGAATTCATCAGCAGTCCATTATTAGCCTCAAGAAACTCAGAATTAATAGATACTGGAGATTCAGGCAATTGCTTCAGTGGTGGGAGTCCTCCAAGATCATCAGGTCGAACCATGAATGGAGCAACCACGGATCCAATTCCATCTCCAGATGAAAAGTGATAAAAGGTATTTTCCATCTTCTGACACTTTGAGGAAGGCATTATATCACCTGAACAGCAAGATCCATGCCCACTAGAATTTATATTATTGATACCCCGTTTAAGACCATTCTTCACCTCATTCGAATTCTGAGTGAGATTAACAGTCTTACACAAAATTCGGCTAGAAGCACAAAATAGGCAATCAGTTTGGAGGCAGTTGTCAAAATGTGATAAAAGTGGGAGAACATTTTCACAATAGCACCTGCCATCATCACACACCGTTGCATGAAAATGCTTAAGGAAAGACGCTAGGCAGTCTTCCATTGGGACTGCCGATCTCTTGGAATTTACATAAGAAGCTAAGACCTTTTCTCTTGAAGAAAAAACTGGCAGGTTATTTAAATTTGCCAGTATGGTGGTTGCCTCAGAGCCGACAAAAGGTGCAGAACTTTCTGGAGGCACGTCAACCCCATGAGATTGTTCTGAAGGGAACTGAGAATGCATAGATATCTGTCCAGATATTGGCAAGCAAAACTTCTTTTGGTCCATGAAGTAACTTGGTACTTTGACCTCCAATGCCTTATTAAACTGTCCATATATCTGACAAGACTGCTGCTGGTTCTGTTCTAATACCTGCACTCTAGATTCCAGTAGATTATTAAGAGTTGAATATGTTATGCCAAACCTTGTGCTGGGGCTTGGTAGAATTCTAGAGACTCCGGAGTAATCTGAGGTCTGTGAAATTGAATTGGAGTATTCCAAGCTTTCACTCGCTGTGGACAAAGGCATACCATAATGGTTTTCATTTTTTGTCATGCTTCCAAATTTCACCAAATTCAATTTGCCTGACACAAATAGTTGAAACGCTCATGAGCACCAAGTGATGACCAAAACATACAACCAAAGAGAGCAAAACGATAGCAAGTGATATGATAGGTATGCAACATAAAAGATATACATTACAAAGAACAGGATGCTATGTCAACCTAGAAAGAGGAAAAAAAGAAAAAAGAAAAAAAAGCTCAAAGTAACAGGATGACCGAAAAGATTCAAAAAGTTGGAAGCATCATCCATGAAATGCCAGATTATAGTGATAAAAACTTAATACAATATCACAAATGTGATCGTGTTGGGTTAATATGACATGAGCAATAAAAGTCCATCTCTCTTTGATCCATTATGAGAACCAATAACTTAAGGACATTTCACATTGGACATACCAAGAGCTATGCAAAATTTTTGAAGAACATAATCAGTCACAAACTATACTTGTAAGACAATGCAGAAACTGTTAAAAAGAAAAGCAGAGTGACTGAGAAAATCACAGTTTAGAATAACCAAAGCAAGGAATAAAGATAACAAACTGAAAATTGCCAGTGTGATTTAGATTGCAGAAACTGGTGTGCAAGCTTGCCCATCATGCACCAGTTACTCAATATTTAAAGAATCCAATAAATAACTCACTGTTACTGAATTGCATAAAGTAATACTATATGCACCAAAATTACTTAAACTCAGGCATAAAATAATAATAATTATTTTTTTAAATAAGAGTGCTAAGTTGAAATGCAGATAAACATACTTTGATCAAAATGTTGCTGCTGAAAATTGTCTTTGAAGGCCTGAAAACGATATGGATGATCTCCCTGAGAGAAGACTGGCCCATTGTCAAAAGTTCCTGGTTCGGGAAACCCATCCCCACAGGAGCTAGTAGTGACGGAGGAATTTATATCAGGAGAGCAAACCATCTCACTAGCAATCTGCCTTGAGGCCACTGCAAGAGCACTGTGCATACTTGCGATTCCTAGATTATATTCATTGTTAAATAATTCTACAGAAAAAAAAAATGCATTGTGAGACATAAAATAGAGTATCCATTTTCTCATTAAGTGCTATAGAGATTGGATGGATTCCTCACCTTTGTGGAAACCAAATTGATCCCTTTTGTCAGCCACCAACAGGTTATAATTATTGTTGCCACAGTTGGGGTAACTATTGTAAATAGGGTTTCCTGCACCAGAACTGCACCCCTGAGTCGAACCCAAAGTTTCCATTGCCATTAAATTGGACCCTTGTTGACCACAATTTGCATCACTTTCTTGTTGTAGGATTAAACTTTGCAATCTATTTCTCAGAGTGTCCAGGTTGATATATTCCTCCTACAAAAAAATACAACACAGATACAAATTTTGTCACTTTAATGCTCTCACAAAATAAGCAGAGCAAGCCTAATCGATTCTTCATGTTTTCTAGTACTAGAAGTCCCACATTCAGTTTTCCCCTTCATAAGATCACTAAAGTACTAACCAGAGTCAATTTCGTATTCAACCAATAAGTTTAAATGGCACAAGTTTTCAAAATAATCTAAAACGTGGCAATATCAAAAGAAATAACCCACCTTTAAACCTCAACAAAACAAAACAAAAGATAAACAAACATATAAACAATCTTAACATCACTTAATCATAAAAAGATAACATTCAATTACCTCAGTAACAGCCTTCATAAACAACTGGTTCTCTAACACATTAACATAATCCCACCCTTGTAATTGCAATTGATAATTCCTATCCTTCTCGAGAATCTCAACGCTACAAAACAAAGAAATTCAACAACTCACATTCAATAGACAATCACAAAAGTACAAATTAGAAAATACATCAATAAAATTTTAAAAAACGAAACTTGCATGTTCTTTCTAACTAACTCCCGAAAACAATCAACGTTAGGGTCTTTCCGCCAATCACCCAAAAGCGTAGTCAGTGAATTTGAATTGGAAAAGCAATGAGTTTTAAAAGTATTAAAATCACTGCCTTCCAAATTATATCTCCTCGTCAGCATCTTTAATTAATTAGGGTTTCCTCTCATGCTGCAAATTCAAAGAACAAAAAAACAAAAAAGAGAAAACACATTATCAATTACAAACACAAGATATCTAAAACAAAAAAGATTAACAAGAAACCCTAATTTCAATAATGTCGGTCGGAGATTAAGAACCGACTGAACAGCTCAAAATCGGAATTTACGAAAGCACAGTCCAATTAATTACCAAAATAAGAGAAAAAATCAATCATGATCCAGAAGAAAGAAAAACGAAAGGAATTGAATAAGAGAAGAATGGGAACTGAAAACCCAACAATTTGAGAAGGCCGTACTCATCCGTACAAGGACACTTACCCGCGAGAGTACTTAAGAGTTAGAGGGTTTTTGAAGAGGGAAAGCAGACGCGCGTGCAGATTGGCGTAAAGGTTTTTTTGGTCTTTTCAATAAACTGGTTAAAATAGATTAATAACGTCTGTCTCTGCCCTCCATATCTATTCTGTTCAGCGTTAGAAAAGAAAGAAATCCACATTTTGTTCGGTTTGGACTTTATTATTTTTGTAGAATTAGGAGTTCTTTTCTTAGCAAACTAGGATTTAGTGATATTTATTTTTTGCTAAAAATTAGGAATCTTATCCCTTTTGCTAAGAGTATTTTTGTCTTTTGAAATTTTTTCGTTAATCTTCTTATGGTTTTGTTTTAAATTCATTAACTTCAAATGTAATTCAAGTCAGCTACTTATTTCATGGTTCAAAGATTAAGAAAAAAGGAAAAAAACCCTAAATGGATCAGACTTTCCCTTAATTTTTATTTATTTGAAATTGAGTTTCTAAATTTCAAATTTGATTTTTAGAATCCTTAAATTTTTTATTTTTTAAGATTTAGTCTATTCAATGATTTTCAACTATTATCCTTCCTTCTAAAAAAAAAAAAAAATCAATTCTTAATATTTTGAACTAAAATTTTAAACATATGTTGGAAAAAATCTATTCTATTTTTTAGAAAAGTCTGAGAATTTTTCAAAATTAAAAAAGTATATTTATTTATTTATCGAACATTAAAAGTAAAAAACAAAAAATAGAAAATAATCCAAAATAATTCCAAATTTTTTTAAGAGTCTCATATAAATCTCAATTTCTATTGTGAGTCTATTTATGTAATTGTTATTTTTTAGAATAAATGATAAAAAAGAACTAAAGGATAAACTAAATTTTAAAAAATTAAATTTTTTTTCAAAACTCCCAAAAACCAAATTTAAAATTCAAGAACTTAATTTCAAATGAGTAAAAACAAGCCTAAAAAAACCTCTAACTCAAGTTCTATGAAGATACTCAACAGCTTATCTATCTTAACGAGGGAAAAAAGTTCTTCATCTAAATGGAAAGAACCATGCCATAAAAATAGATTAAAGATAAGATAATTCAATTTCAAGCTAAACCTGCAATCCATTAATTATCTATCTTTATCCATTTTGTTCCTTCAATTCTTCTTTTCAAAATGCAGGTGGGATTAGTAATTAGAATTCACCATAAATTTTAACGAAAGAGGATCCTTTTACTTAAGTAGTAATCATCTTTTTTCCTTAACCTAGCACAATTTTGACAGTATTTCAGAAAAAAATTAAAGCTGATAGACGAATCCGCGAGGTCCTCCAGGAATTCCTAATAAACACAATCTACAATTTTTGAAGCAACACAGATAGATGCAAAAAATATTAACTAGCTCCTACAGGATGAGTATGGCAGAGAACATCTGGTTACAAGAAACATCTGAACTAGTTAAGACCACCTAATACTGTGTATATAACCTTCTCCCCTAGTTGATGGAGAAAGCAATCGAATGTGCAACTCTAGTCAAGCTAAAAAAACGAAAAAGAAAGGATGAGAGTTATTTTACAAAGAATATGACATCCAGGATGCCCTGTTACAATCATGTCTACCCCATCTACCTCCTACGATGGCGATGGAGATCATAGTCATACTCACTCCGAAATGAATGATCCCGATATGAATAATCCTTGTCATAGTCATCCCAGCTGTTATCAGTCTCGTATCTCACAGAGCCAATATCCCGTGGTGAAGAACGTTTCCTTGAGGATGAGTATGATGAAGGACCACGGCTTGCAAAATCTTCATATACCAAAGCGCTCCTTCCTCTATCAGAATTGGACCTCCCAAAGGCAGGTGTCAGCTCTCTAGGGCTGTCAGAACTGTAACTAGAATCATAATGACCATACCTTGGAGGGTAACTAGACAATGATGGGCTAAACACCGAATCAACACCTGGAGGCCCATCATCCCTATGTTGTCTTTGCTCATGATGATGCCACCTGCCTGTAGCTTCTGAAGAATGGCTCAATCTATGGTGTGATCGGTGCCGGTATGGATCAGAACTTGAAGGCCCAACATCCCAAAGTCTTTGATCTGCGTTTTCTGGAATTGCTGCATTTATTCCTGGAAATTCAACTGACATTTTCCTCTGAGGTTCAGGAAGGTCTGTTTCCATAATCTCCCCATCTTCCTGTTCCTCCTTGACTTCCCCATCGTCAAATATTGTGATCCCTGAAGGCCGATCCTCATCATCGGGATCTGAAATAGGAATGTAAAAGGATTATGATGGAAAACATACCTGCGACTATACAAAAGCTTCCAACAACAATGAATTTAGTTATTGGGGATGACAATGATGATGACTACAGAACAAACTCCACCAACAACAAGAACATGGGGACAATTTGTAGCATATGAAATCCACAAAACATAATTTTGGTTAATAGCAATGCACTGTCCTCCTGGAATTATCATGGTGTGCTGTGCTCACTTCTTCCTTGTATGTGGAAGGTGATTAAATCAAGCATCATTTCTAACAAGCTCAATCATCTCTCCAAGAATCCAGACCCCCCTTAATATGCATGACCTCAAATTCAGGGAAAACATCTAAATTTACAGTAGCAGAGACATTGAATCTGATTGGCTCTGAATATGTTATTACCTTCAATGAAAATTCAGGTACTTGTCGGACCAAAATCTCCAAAGTGCAAGGAGATAGATAGTAATTGCTTCCTCTGACCTAGGTAAATGTGGTACTCACTGTGCACCGACATCAGCCTATCAGCTTAGTTGAACTATACAACAGCTACAACAAAGCCTCAATCCAAAACTAGTTGAGGTCAGCTAAAGCTTAGTTGAACTATGAGGTGAAAAATATTAGCAAGGATTTGGAACCCTAATTTTCTTTAGCCACATTAGCCTTTTTCATTCTTACTGGCCTTTGGGTTACACTTGCTTAGAGTAACATTTACCAAACCAAGTCAGTCATGCTCTACATTCACAAATCCAGTAACTTCGATTACATGAAATTAGGCCTCCAATCCATGCAACAACCAAGGGCAATAAGAGAGAATTTATGCCATGATCCTTGAATACCGTATTCAAATTCTTTAAAAGGTCACACAATTTCCTGGTGGGCAAAGTGGCCGAAAAAAAAAAAAAAAAAAAAGACAGAAGAAGAAGAAGAAGAAGAGGAAAAAAAAATCAAACATAAAGAAGTATACCAGACAAATGTAGAAGGAAATCAAACTCAACAAAGGAATCACTAGTACTTCCTACCAGTGTAGCTTAAAAAAAAAAAAAAAAAAGCAACCTAAATGATGTGAGTTCATAATCATGAATGCAATGAAGACTAGTAATATCAGACAAGGAAAATGGAGTGCACTACCTAGATATCCTGGTGGGTATCCCAGCTCTCGCATTCTGTTAAGCCATGGTGGAGGATCAAATTCCTGGATAACAAATTCCAAAGAAGAAAAAAAAATTCTCATGAACAAAATGTCAATACTGTTTCAACTAGCAATCCATCACACTATCTAATCCATGCAGTGTGCACTTGTGTATATTGTATATGAAGCTTCATCTGGCCTTTTATAGTGTATGGGCTTTTATACTCGCTGTTGTATTGACCAACTAGGCTCTAGCTGGTTCTGGGTTTAGATGCAAGAGAATCCATGTTCGCGGGGTTACAAATATAAGGAGAAACTAAATGTTCAATTTGCTTTCAATGTGGTGTAAGCTCTTACCCCAAGACCCAAAAGTTTCCGTGTTTCAGTGTCAAGAGAACCTGGCTTCAAACCATCATACTTTCCACCTGAAGAGCTCTGATAATAACGTGTAGGATTGCGGGAGCTAGAATTCTGATTTCGCTTGAACTTGTGTTGTTTGCGAGCATTATTAACAGCAGCATTATCACGAGGCTTAGGGCATTCTTTCAAAGAATGGTTGTACGAACCGCAGTTAAAACAACGTGCAGCATCATCCACTATCTCCAAGCCTCTATAGAAATGCAGGGCAATAGGTAATAGAAGATAAAAACGTGCAGGAGCCCTCATAAAACAAATATGTAACATGAGAAGAATCACTGGTTGAATCAGAAAACCAACAGAAGCATAGAATTATAATTAATGAATTCCTAAGTCTCGACAGGTTTTCACCAGAAAAATTGACCGTTCAAAGGTATAAAAAATCGCCAATGGATTATTATCTGATGTAATGTGCAAGATCATTGTTACATAGATGAAGGATATGAATGCAGCAACTATCTAATGTGTTGAACAGACTTCAGTTTCTAATGATCTTTCTCAGATCCTCTGTTCATTAAGCTATTGTCCTGAATTAGTCTGTTATAAGTAACACATTACTAGTTGCCAACAGAAATACAAAACAAGGTTATAGAGATTCCTGGTAACAAACACACATCCACATGGATATCCCTCGTGGTTAGCTACTCTCCAATACATTATATTTTTTTCAACCTATCACATACCATGCCCCAGTCACAATCATAAAATCACCATGAATGCTAATATCCAAGCTTGTTCCACATACATGCCAATCAACAAGTTTTGAACAACTTAAGCAATTTGCAAGTATTCTGAGCATGTCGGACACAAACCACAAAGGTTAGATTTTCAAAGCATGAAATCTAAGAAAGGTTCATAAGTCAAGATCATTTACCCTTCCATGTTAATTGGACCATCTGCTGAAGTCAAACCCAATGCATATCCACGATCATACAGAGGCACAGAATTACCATGCTGAGGAATTATTTCATTGTCTTGCTGTTTCCTTGTTTGGTTCTCAATCCAGAAGGACTACACATAAAAAAGAACTTCATCAAATGAAAACTAGATGAAACAGCAAAGACATGCAATCCTAACTTTTGATCTCTTTTAGTGAATCTAAATGCAAATAAGAAAGAACATCATTGCACTATGATGGTTACAGCCTTCGCATCTGCTCTACAATAAGTTGAGTGGGGAGGGAAGAGTGCAAATTTTCAGGTAAAAATGGCCTGAGAAGTGTAAAGCAAACTCCAACCCCTCATCAAGAAAAGATGAAAAATCCCACAATCATGAATTGTATAAAAAATGGAACTTGAACAGAAAAAAAAAAAAGGTACTTCTGCATATCTAATTTTCCATGGTAATGGAAAATGTAACTGACCTACAGAGTGATAACAGCGTTCAAGGTAGAGCATGGTTGGCTAATAGGTTCCTTTTTAAAATCGTAATTTAAGAAAGCTATGGGATCCATGACAACTATGAAGGCTTGAAGATTCAAGACAAAGGTCCATAGTCATTGTTTAGAATCTTAACAATCTGAAATTGTGCTATTTAGATTTTAGAATTAGGGCTTAACTTAAATAATTGCACCCCAGTGCATTGATGGTGCAGTAATAAACGCCAGAGATTATCTAAGAAGTGCATTATCCACTTCCAAAGTTTAGAATTCCATATCAAAATTAAAGGGTTTTTTTTTTTGTTTTCTTCTTTTTTAAGGTCCTTCAACAAAGAGCTCAATAAGGATTCAGGCTATATACGAAAAACAGAACCTCATTCACAAGAAAATGAACTACTCCCTCTGTCCCAAAGAGATTGTCCCCCTTTCTATTTATATCTGTCACAAAATAATTGTATGTTCAAAACTTTAAATACTATATTTTCCTAAAATATCCCTATCTTTTTAAAAATTTTGGAACTTAAATTTCGCAGGATGGAAGGGTATTCTAGGAATGTAAGGATAAAAAAGGCTGATGTGTCATAACAATTAATATCCCTATATTTTTAAAAATTTTGGAACTCCAATTTGGCAGGATGGAAGGGGATTTTAGGAAAGGAAGGATAAAAAAGACTGATGTGTCATAACAATTAATATCTTCCTTTACCTGTATGAAAAGTCTAAGGGGACTAACACCTTGAGAGAAAGGGAGTATATTTTTTCCCTTTACCAAAGGTATATGGTTCTAATCCAACTAGCTTTATTAATTATGTAAGGGGTAAATTGCATCACAGAAAATATGTGGCGAAGCATCTAAAGTTGCAAGAACAAAAAGTTCATGGTTATACTTGGCTCATCGTTTTAACTATACCCATGCAGGACCATAAAAGGGAAAAAGGAAATTACCACTGCAGAGGACTTCTCCATGCTGATACATAGAGCAGGAAAGTAAGTGTCTTCACCAGACTGTCGCATTTCATCAGAATCCTGAAAGATTGAGATGCATAGTTGAGACTAGAAACTGATTTGATAAAGAATATGAAGCCTCAGAGAAATTGCAACAGATTTCCTGCATTCACAATATCGGATATCTGCAAAATTCTCTTTCTAATGGAGATGTAAGAATATTTTCATCACTAGATTTTCTATCAATCCACTCTGGTTCGTGTGTTGGAAATACTGTCCTAACTTTTCATTGGTCAAGCCAAGCCACCCAAACTAAACAAGATCAAAAAGTGAAATTTTAGATATTACAGCAATTTTGATTAGCAGATAAAATCAAGCCTTACATGAGATGAAGAACTCTGTTGAGAATGCCACTCTGACCACTGTCGTAACAGTTCCTCAAGCTTTTGTTTGCTAGCTCTGGAAAGAGTAAAACAATCACCAAAGAATTCAACAAATGAGAATCCAAGCTAATTCTAACAAGACATAATAGCTCCAATAAATCCACAATAATAACAGTCACAGCAATTCAACAAGAAATCTAAACATACAGTTCTAAATTCTTGGATTTGCCAAGTTATAACGAACACTTCCACCCTGACCTTGTTAAGGAGTTATACTTGACATGCACTGAAGGCTGCTGTTCATCATATGTCGTCCTTTTTCTCTTAACACCTGATACATCTGGGCATATTGGATTAGGGAAAAGATGACAAAAAAGGGGGAATCAAAATAAATGCAACTAAAAAAAGTGATTTTCATGGATATAACATTCCTCATATTGACATTCACTTATTAAGATTATTTGCAGCATATTATTATGGAAAATAAGTTATTTATGGAATCATGGTTCTAAAAAGAATGGGTCCATCTAGAGTTTAGGATTGAGTTATCAGAAGTTAAGAAAGGATACGACTGCCATCCATCTTGTCTTGTGGGACAAGACCGCTATTTTGTGTATCAAGGAAACAATCCTCAACATTCCCTGTGATGCTGGAAATATCCGGCTTCTTGGAAACTATAACGGCATCAACCACTTCAATATTCACTTGCCTGACAGGCGAATCAACCAAATCCATGTCAGCCTCTGTTTCCACTGCAAACTGAATATCTTCAGATCCAATGTCACGTTCCTCAGGCACCAAATTACTCTGATCTGTTGCAGCTTCTTTAGTTCCACTATCACCAACATTAAGCCCAGAATACCCTGGATCAACTATAGCTTCATCATTTCCAATAACACCTTCATTGAGCTCAAAACTCTCCCAATTTTTTGTACTTTCTTTGTTTCCACCAGCACCTCCATTGAGCTCCAAACTCCCATCCGTTGTGCCTTCTTCATTTCCAACAGCTTCATGAAGCCCCAATTTCTCCTCATCATCCCTACTTTCTGCAGCCTCATTACTACCTGGTTGAGAGTGAGATCCACTTAGCCCAAAATCAGACTTCGAAAGCTCATCATTCTCATTTTTATCTACAGAATCACTGGAACCAGGGAGGCTAATCATATCCTCAGTTTCCATACTTAAAATTAACAGCAGCTTCACTTCTAGCAAGTCCACTAACCAAAACCTCCACAACTACCCTGCATAAGACAAATCCTAGTTACTTGAGAAGAAAACCAATATCTATCTCCTTAATTAAAAAAATAAAACAACCTCTCACAATAAAAAGATTAAACTTTTAAATTTCTAACTAAAAAAATAAGAATAAAACCCTAGTTGAGTATTCATAGAAGCACGTTTTCATACCAAATACTTGCGTTAATAACTATCAGTCTTGTATTTCCACTACATAAAATAACAATTTTTTATGGAAAAAAATAAAAAGAAAGAAAGAAACATCATTAAAGCTGGAAGATTAGGAAACGGAAAAGGATTAAAACACCACAAATGGTTCATCTCAACTAGTCTAACAAAAAAATAATCCAAATTTTATCTATTAAAACAGGATTCTTGATTCCAGTACTAAAACAAATAGCATTAGTCACTAAACTTAACAAATAACGTTAGGAATAAAAAAGAAAAAAACATGCAATTATCAATCAATACATTTATAATTTCTTCAACAAAAACAACAATACTCTAATGAATTCGATAATTAATGTCAAACAAACCACAACACAGTAAATTAATCATCTTTACAAGAAATTAACACGCTACTTTAAAACAAAAGAAAATAATAGAGAAAACATGTTTGAGAGAGAGGACAATAGTTGTTTTCTTTTCATTTACCAGAATTTTCTCATAAACCAAACAGGAAATACAGAGAAAGGGGTGACAGTTAGGGTTTTGGAAGTGAGGTTTGCTTCAGTTGCACACGAGCGAATAACTAAAATGAGAAGAAGCAAGAAGCTGAAGCGAGCAAAATTTTGGATCTGTTTATGGATTTTTTGGTTTCTACGAAAAGAGCCGCCTTTTTTTTTTTTTTTCCTTTCTCTGTTTTCCTTCTAACTATTTATGCGTAAATTATAAGTTAGTCCTTCTATTTTTTAAAAGACAATTAATTAATCCTTTTTGTTTCAAAAACTCATTATATAGTTCATTGATTTGGCCATATTTAATTTAATATTAATTTATTTCAAAAGATATCATCTTTTCTCATCAATAATTTTATATTTTATCTTTTTTTGTATTTATTAAAAAATCAAAATAAATTAAAAAATAACAAAAAAAAGATTAAATTATAAAAAAATAAATTTATAGAGACTAAATAATTAGTTTTTGAAAGAAAAAACTAATTAATTTATTTTTAAAACTAAATAAACTAATTTATAATTTACTCACCTAATTATTTGACACGGAGGGAGAGAGGGAGAGAGACGACGGTATGGTGCGTTACGGCATATATTAGGCTCTTCCTTCGTACTTTAGAAAAGATTCGACTTTTGTAAAATTCAAGTCACTCGCATGGCGATGAACTTATGATTTTAAGAAAACTTAAAATGTCTTTACCGAAAAAAAGAGTTTATTATATATTTAGTGTAAAAAAAATTATTTGATAGTTCTATTCATTATATGATGATGTGTTCGTTAACCGTATATGTAGTATCGTCATGTGGGTCCTTTTATAAGACATATAGCAACCAAAAAACAATTAAAAATAAAAAAGTTAAATTAAATTAAAAAAAAACACAAAAAGTTTCGGGTTCTATAAAAAATCGCATTTCTAGTGATCTATAACCCTAATTGCTAGAGATATCAATTTATTTTATAACAAAAAACCATTTGGATCATTAAATGAGACAAAAGATAACCTATTTGCAATCTCATCTTCATTAAAAAACAATGTTGAGTTCATGTACAATCATGGCTCTTTGCTCTTTGTCCAAAGAAACCATATGCCCACTCCTTATGTAAGGTTGATAGACCTTGCAAAAAGAATGAACAAGTGCACCACCAAATGCTTCTACGAAAACCTCAAATCAAGGCCTCTATAGTTCTAGGTGAGAGCATCACAATATACACAACTAAGTCCTTCGCACCAACATGATTATTCCCAAAAGAATCCACCATTCCATTCTCTAAATTCTCCAAATTCTCCACGTAACTCACGTACTTTTTCATCTTCCTAAGGTTAGAAATCTCATTCCATTGAGATAACTAGTAGAACCTAGGCCCAAACCATAGAAAGATTTGTTCTATTGGTATGTATAACTATTCTTGCATTCTTACTCATCTTCACGATGAATCGGTAATTTCATAATGTCCATAACTTCGCATCGATAAACATCCTCAAAGCCATTCTATAAAACTCAACGATTGAGTTTCATATTGTGAGGAAAACATCTATACATGTACCTATAAAAAACTCATAAAATCAATCTCAAAAGTTAATACAAAACTAATGACACTACATTTGTGAAGATAGAAAGCAAATGACACAAAATCAACCTTAGTCGATTATGATAAGATTAGAAACCCCGTTATAACTTAGCTTATAAAGATCACAAACACCACATTGAGAGATTCATTTAAGAACACGAGAAAAACTTGTTAGCACCCAAATTTTCCTCCCAAAAAATACAAAAAATACAAAAAAAACGAGAGAGAGAGAGAGAAAAGGGATTAAAAAAATAAAATCGAGGGATATAATTGAAAAAAAAAAGGAGAAAATTACCAAAATAAAACAAGCCTACAAGATGAGGGGTCAAATTGAATTTAAATCAAAAACCCTAAAAATTCAGTATAAATATCCCTTTTTCTCACTCTTCAAACCAAACTTTCCCTCTCTAAAAATTATGGCCAATCCTTTCTCTCCCTTAAAAATCCCGACCAGCTCGTCCGATCTACTCACTCTAGTCGCACCACCATCTTTCACCCCATTTAGCCAACCTCCAATCACTATAGCTCGACCGCAACAATCCTTCATAACCAATAGTGACTATAACCGACCACACACAACCTCCAATCGACCTTCAATCAATCCTTCATCCACAACGAGTCCCGTTTTACGACCTCCGGTTGCTCAATCTCTTTTCTCCCGATAATGTTGTGACGTCCAAGCAACCATCCGGGTCCAATCCGAGTATACATCCACCCGATCTCCCTTCCACGGAACATCAAACCGTCCCACTATCGTCCAAACTCGATCACACTAGTCCAACAGCCTCTATGATAGCATCACTCATTCGATGTCGTTCAATAGTAATAGTCAACATCCTCTCATGGAAAAAGCAATCGTTTCACATGCATCACCATCCAACAACTATTGCCATCTATCCAATAGCTCATTGTCTTTCGATTCGATCCGATCTAGCAGCTCGACCTTACCATCTAATCAAGTCACCAATAGCCACCTTGCTTCATATCAAAGCTAGATTTGACAATGGGTAGTCGTCCACCCTCTTTGGTTGACTAAATAACTTTAATAATTAGTACTCGCTAAAACTAGAATTTAAGTAAAAATTAAATATTAAACACATGTGGAAAATTCTTTGAGGGTAAGAAATAATCATTAAGGACTTAAAAGAATATTTAGAATAGTTGAAATAGTTTTTTCATGCTTAGGGAATCTTTTATTGATTTTATGGCGCATAAATAGTAGTTTTTGCATGAAATAATTAGTTAACACATCTTGTATGTGCATGAAAAATGTTTTGTTTGTTTAGAATATTTGATAAAGGGGTGTTGGATTATTTTATATGATTGTGTGAATTTCTCCATATGTTATGAATATTTTATACGAATTGTTAGGCATAGGAATAGTATTTTAAAGGTAGAATAATTAAATTAGGAACTTAAAATAATGATAATTTTTTTTAAGGGCATATAAAATTCATATAGGATGTGTAGGAGTACCTAATAAATTTAAATTAATTTTATCAAGTGCAAGGAATATTTTTATAGGAAATAATACCATTTTTGCACTAAATAATTAATTTGGAGGCCTAAATGAGGTGCAAAAATTATGAAAATTTAGATTAAATCTTCTTCATACATGTTTGAATTTATTCTAGAAGAAATTGAATTTTTGAAAAAAATAGAATAAAATTTTTGAATTAAGCACCTAATTGCATAGAAATGAGGGACTTAATTGCACAAAATTAAAAGTTTGAACTTCTAAATTAAATTATCTATAAAGCTAAGGAGTTTAAAAGTTGTTAATATACCTTTAAGGGAAGGGTTTGAAGTGATCAATTGGCAAATTGAAGGATGGGGGAAGAAGTAATTAGAGAAAAGATTAATAAAATGAGGGATTAAAATTAAGAAAAAATTTGGACTCTTCCACCACTTTCCAACCAAAATTTGTTGCTTGATTAGGCCCTAATTAATGCACATCGACTTATTTAAAAAGAATAGGTTAAGAAGCATGCAAGATTGATGATTTAGAATTAAAGAAAAATTAAAGATTTAAGATTTATCCATTTGAAGGGCTAGGATTAAAATTTCTTTCAATGGCCAAGGTCACTCCAAAACACATTAATTCAATGGTGGAGATGAGGTCAAAAGTGCACCCAAATTATTCCTATAAATTAGGGTGCATGGAATTAAGAAAAATGCATGAGAAATAGCTTAAAAAAAGGGAAACTCTTGCCAATTTTTTCTAGAAATCTCCACTTAAAACCACCCCTAAACACCTTAAATCACCTAGCTAAACAAGGAAATCAAGCTAGAAGCTCAAGAATTTTCAATAGGGAAAATTTAGGTTTAGGCCAAAATTTGGAGAAACAAAAGGAAGGAAGAAATTTGTAATCTTTCCACTTTGTGAAGTTAATTTGGAGCTTATCTATGTAAGTTAACTTCACCTACACCATAAACAAGTTTAATTTCATGTCAATTTTATGTTTAATTGTCTTAATTTTGATTAATTGCATAAAGTGTGAAAAATTAGGATTAGGGTTCTTGATGAACAAAAATTAGGAGGAAATGAAATTGAACTTGTTATTTATGTAATTGAGTTTGGAATAGGTTGATTAGGCTTGAAATTGAGATTTAAAACTCAAAAATTTATAGGGTTTCTTAAGGGATACCATTCGGCATAATTGCTCAAATTAGGGTTTTTTGATACTTTCATGTAATTAATGTTTTAAAGTTTAATTCGACTTAATTAAGCATGCATTAGTGTTTAGGAATGAAAAATATCACTTTAATTGAAGAAAAATCCATGAAAATCTTTAAGGTATATTCGGCCTAAAACTCAAAATTTAGGGTTTAAGTTGTAATCATTTAATTCTGGAATTATTGGTTAATTTGTATTTGAATGAGTGTAATTTGATGTATAGGAAAGGAAAATTTCAAGGAAATTTAAGAATATGGCTTGGATTTGTTAAGGCCTAATTTCGGCCCAATTCGAGTTAGAGCATGAATTTATATCCTATAGGTTAATTAAATTGGTTTCTATGATTAATGTGTATGTAAGCTAATTGATATTAAAATTATAGGATGAAATGAGAAGAAAAGAATAGGGTTTAGGTTTAGGGAAGTTTCGGCCTAAATGAATGAATTTGGGATTTCAATTCTAAAATGGTTCCTAACAATTGACCAATTCAAGTTTAGAACTACATAATTAAAGGAATTAGAACGAAACTTTCATAAGAATCTAAAGATTAATCAATTTAGTAAAATTTGGAAGTTAGGCTCAATAAGAAAATAATACATCTAATTAATTAAATAATACCTAATTAACTTAATTCAATTGATTTATAATGTAATTGAAGTGAATTTGAAGTGTAATGGATGTTGAAATTGGAAAGAAATGATTAGGCAACGCTAAGCTATAATTTGGCCTAGTTAGGAAAAATGAAAAACTTGACTTACTTTGAGTATGATTATGTTTTAATTGGAGTTTAATGTGTTTTGAGTTATGAATGTTGAATGTGATGGAAATGTGGATGGTTGAAATGTTATATGGTTTGAATGGTATGTGAATGTTGGTATGGATTGTAATAATTGGCATGTATTATGCAAGGTAATTTTTATGTCTTATTATGGCATGACCACATAATTGATTATGGCGTGTATTTCATGAGCTAGCATTTGTCATGCATTACTAATAAAATGCATATACATGCTTAATTTCATGTAAGAATTTTTAAGTCATGAAAATGTGTTTTATGTCATGGTTTTTCGATAGCAATCAAAAATGTTTTTAAAGGATATCGTTTTTCATGACTTTAAGGATTTTTATGAGGATGGACTTCATGGATTTTTCATATGGTAATGGTAATGGTAATGGTTTAGGGTTGCATAAGTGTAGACGTGCACTTTTAGAGGCTCGGTAGAGCACGTCCATGGACGGGTATAGTTCGCTAAACATATGTTATGGAAACCCTAAAGTATCTAAATAGTACATGTCCAAAGACAAAAAAAAAAAAAAAAAATAGACTGTTTTTGAAATGATTTATGACATGGAAAAAAGGTTTATTATGCATACATTAGTATTTTGCACATACATTACATGCATAAGTTAACTTATTGAGTTGTCGCTCACTTATATGTTTGTGGTAAAGCTAATATAGGTAAAGATGGTGCTCATGACTTTTGAGCCGACTACCGCGGGGTCCACCCATCGCGTATACGTGAGATGTGATTTGCGAATGAACCTAATACACATGGTGGCTATTATTGTACTAGGTATTTTAGTTTACTTTTTAGTTATGTCGGTGTGTTTCTATATAACGAGTTAAAGCAATGAACCAATAAATGAAAGGATAAGAAAAATAAACGTAGGTAATTAATAAGCCATTTTTATAGTAAATGGTGTTAAACTAGTTTTGTATGTAAGCAATAGCTATATGTAATCAAAACATTAGTAGAAAAATAGTAGCATGGTTGTAGTTAATATCGCTTGTCCTAAGCTATTTGTTTTTATGCTAGTACCACTAGAGCGATAAAGCAACATAAATGGGTAGACGAGTAATTACAATAAATGATAATTAATAAGAAGAAATGATCAATTAAGTATAATTAATTAAGTATATCTAATGAAATGGAAAAGGAATTGAAGGTAATCAAGGATCATAGATTCAATCATTTTCGTTCACGAGAAGTAAATAGGATAATAAAACGCAAAAAATTTATAATGCATTTTAAACTAAACATATGACCGAATTGTTATTAGTAGACTTCCACAATATAATTACACCTAGATAAGTTATGAATAGGTCATAGTGCCTTATTAACTAATATTCATTGCACTTCGAATGTAAGTTAACGAGCAGTAATATTCTCGACTTATTAAGTCCTAGTTGGGGGTGTTACAATAATCAATCACTATTGGGGTTAAAAAGGTCGAAAATAACCCCAATTCGATGATCAAATTCATTCAACCTTTTTCACATGTTTAGCAAGTAATTTATTTATTTATTTTATTATTTGTTAATTAATATTTATTAAATTTAATTCATACTAATATGTTTGTAAATTAATTAAATTGTTGTTGTGATTGTGTGACTTTAAATGACTACTGCTTGTGGTTGTATGGTTTGACCGATATGCTTATTGTCCTGTAATTTTTTGTTATTGCTTGTGTGATTGCATCACATCGATTTGAACCTAGTTTTTAGACCATTTTTTTTCCATTGTTATGATTAATTGATATTGTGTCAATTTTGCCAAAAAAATATGATTCTTCGATCGCTTTGGACCATTTTTGTCAATTGTGACGATTAATTGATATGGTACCGATTTGCCTTAAAAAACATGATGTTTCAATTGTATTGGTCTAAGTCTTGGTTTTAGAACATTTTTCTCTTTTTTCAATTTTTCTATTTTTGCCATTTTTTTGCCATCGTTTTTGCCAACCTTAACCATTTTTACTAATTTTGTCGTTTTTCATTTTTTCCATTTTTATCGTTATTGTTTATTTTGCCTATGTTATTGTTATTTCCTATTTTGTCTATCTTGTTGTTGTTGCTTATTTTTGCTTATTTTTGTATCTTGCCTATTTGCTTATTTTATCTATTTATCTATTTTGCCTATTTTGTCGTTATTGCCTATTTTGTCTATCTTTGTCTTTATTTTTTTACTATTATCTCAAACATCACTTACACTATACTTAAATGATTGAAAATGATTATTACAAGACTGTAATTTTTTATAAAAAATTTGAAATTAATTAA